GGAGCAAACATTGCTGCACCTGCAGATGGCCCATAGCTAGTTAAGGACAAAATGCTTCCAGAGAATATGGCAAGAACATTCACTTCCCATTAAAAAATTAAAGATGATAAGCACAAAGGTCATTTGTACCTGCAATTCTATGAGGAATGTATCTAAGAGCAGCCCAAGCATGAAGGGCACCACTTGAGTAGCCCACTACCCAAAACTTGCCATTAAGACCAAGAGCATTAGCAAGGAAAGACATATCCAAAGCAGATGACTCAAGGTTTCTGTTGGGGTGAGGATCACTCTCCCCAAAACCTGGAAGATCAAAGGTCAACAAACGAACACCAAACTCTTCCAGCAGTGAAGCCTTAAGTCCAGGTATTCCTAAATGGAGAAAACAAATTATCCAATACTAAGAGTAAATCCAAATTATGTAAAAATAGCTTAAATAAACCACAATCTAATAAAGTCACAAGCCGAGAGTCTGAGACTATCCAACCTGCAAGTCGAGAGGAGAGAAATGAATGTGGAGCAATTATTGAAAATCTAGCTCTGTCAGCCGGAACACCTTGCTCTCTATAGGCCATATATCTACCATCTGGAAGCAAAATACGATTGGCACTGGGAGGGCGTATGTACACGTTCCTTGTCACTCTGATGGGAGTTCCTTGGTTGGTACTTATACCCAAGACTGCAGATTAGTTCGTCCTGTTAGTAAATGATCAAAGTAAACACCAAAGAAAAAGTTGTATGTTCACTTTCCAACCATTTTTATTTAATTCTAAAGAAGAATCCAAAGATGAGCACATAAACTCTGAAAACAATTGGCAACAGCAAGTGGACAAGTTTAATCATTTCACAGTCAAAATCAAGAAATTTTTGCATTTTTAACATTTTGGGAAAATGTGATCTGTAATGGGAAAATTTCAACCACAAAATTGTTGGAAAGTTCTATGCTACCTAGCTGAATCTATAGAACAACTTAATTCTGGTTTAGGTGAAAAATTCAGGACAAGTATCCAAAACACGCTTGGATTCACAATAAATGGAAAAAATTTCAATTTCTTCACTTCCAAATTATACCAAACGAAGCATAATGCATACTTAAAAACTCAGATTAACCTTAGTTCAATCTCATTCTAAATTTCCCAGAGAATTATCATAGAACAAAACTGAAAAACCAGGAGTCCATTGTTCGACCCAATTGCTACATAAAACCAAAAAAAAAAACTAATCTATTTCCTCCATCATCTAACCAAGTTATCCATAGAGCAGAGGAACCATTTAAAGAAAAGCAGAAAAAACAGCATAATTCAATACCTGCAAGAGCAAGAACGAAGACAAACAAGATAACCAACCAAGCATGCTTCGGATCCTTATCCTCCGGCAGCAAGTACTCATTAAACAACCTCAATCGCCGGAAGACATTGCCAAAGGGAACCATAATTCTACTACCAATATACGAATCCTTTCCAAAATTCCTTACTAAAAACGAATCCTCCCTCACTAGACTCTGCCGCACTACATCCCTGCACCCTTTCCCAAACTCCACACTCATCTCCACCAATCCTCTCATAAACTCCGTCGCCACATCCTTCCAACCATCCGCCGGCCCGCCCCTGTACCCGCCCCTATACTCCCGACGACCACCATCCATTACTGTATACTAGGGAAAAAAAAAAACAGTTTTCAATAGAATTTATCAGGGAAATGCAGAGACTAGAGTCGTGCGGTGACCAGAAAAAGGCTTCTGTATGACGCAGAATTCAATGAAATTTTATGAGATCTATTGTAAGTCACGACCTAAAAAGGTTGAAAGCGAAAGAAAATAGCAGATTTTCATAATTTACAGCCATTTTTAACTTTCTCATAACTGTGGAATTTAACAATTTTAGCGGCGGAGGAGTGGTGTCGGGGTTGTTGGGATCGGAGATGGACGGTGGTAGATTTGCACATCATGACAATGACGGTTGTTGGGTAAAGGGTTTGAGGTTTCTACTTTTTAGTGGTGGAAGGAAACAGCCGTAGCCTTTACGTTGCCTTTTTGTAAGTCTTTTCCCGCAGTCTTCACTCCAGCAGCATCTTCAGCCGTCAGCACAGCACCACGTTAATAATACTATATTTTTTTACTCGTATGGTACTAATATTTTGTGAAAAATGAAAATGACCGCAAAATAATGGGGAGATACTCTCTCAGTTTTAACCCTTTTTTTTTTTAGCAAAAGAAAAAACTGTTATTTTTTATTTTCAATTTATTTAAATTAATTATTTTTTATTTTTTTAAGTAGATGCATATTTCTTTTTTTATGGATTGTTTATTCAAGCGTTAGAGAATAGTTATCCATTATTAATCTTAATTAAATAATTTAAATATTTTAAATTATAAATAATAATAATTATCAGTCATTAAATGTGACTATCAACTATTAATTATATTAAAATAGTGAATCCAAATAACCCCTTAGTTTAACTCTAATATTATTCATTTATTTTAATCAATTATAGTATTATAAAAAATATTATTTTATTTTTTATTTTTTCTTAAAAGGCAATATAGGTGAAGAAAAAAATGAAAAATTAAGATCTTTTGACATTAAAAAGTCAATACATCTAATTATAATAATTAAATACGTGAAGTATAAGGATGATTTTTAATTTTATTAAATTTATTATATATCTATTATTAAATATTTTAACATTTTTAATATCAAGATACTTTGATTTTCTTTTTTTTTATACGTAAATATATAATTTACTCAAAATTTTTAATTTAAAAAATAACAATTATTTTGGAACTAGTAAATAGGATAAATAGTTCTTTAACCCCCCAACATTTTAAATAATGTTTAGTTTGATCCTTAAACTCTAATGGTTGATGACTTCATGTAAAAGGTGTAACCATGAAAGCATTCCCCCATATAGCCGCAATGGCAGCCACACTTCTTCAAAGTGAGAAATAGGTGAAACGCATTTCAATTCGTAGGTCGAGTTTCAGACTCGACTTTCCTCAAACAGATACTAACCTAAAACTGTATTTTTTCTTGTCAAAAAAAAAAAAAATGTAACCATGAAAGGAAAGGGTTAAACTTTTTTTTTGGTCCCTCAACTATTATACAAACTCTTAATTGAGTCCCTCAACTCAAAAAATCATTAATTTGGTCCTTACTATTTACCATTTTTACCTTAACTTGGTCCTTTCGTTAAAAATTTACTCACGTGTCCCCGTTAATTAACAAAAGCATAATGATGCGTCAAAATATTATGTCCACGTGGAAGACAACATGGCCAAAAAAAGGTGACATGGAAAAAAATAATAATATGACTAAAAACTTTAGGTTAAATACCCTTTTTGGTCCCTCTACTATAGGAAAAAGCCCCTTTTTAGTTCCTGTACCAAAAAAATCTCCTTTTTGGTCCTTACTGTTCACAAATCCGGCCCCTTTTTAGTCCTTCCGTTAAATTTTAGGTGATGTGGCAAGTTAATTAACGGAAAATTTTATTTTTTTCTTTACTTAAATTACGTGTGAAATCCATGTGGCAAAACTCAATGACAGGGCCAAATTTTTTATCTTTAATTACCAATTTACCCTTATTTTCTTCTCCACCCTCTCCTTCCTTCAGCTTTTTCTTCTTATTTATTTTTTTTTTCTTACCTTTAGGCGAACCCAGGAGCGTGGGTTCG